TTAACAAACTCTAATATAAACAAGAAAAATGGAGACTGTAAGATACCAAAACACTCTTCGATTCAACTTATTTTTACACTCCTCGGTAGTATTTCTGAAATAATGCAGTTTTTGTATTTCCTAAATTTTCCTATCGCGTTATTAGAAATAGATCTCGATCTTAGAGCCTAGTAAATTATTATTTACCTAACTATCTATATTTAGACAGAACATTTATATACATTATAACAAGAAAGGAAATTTTGCACACTTAAATATATCTTTGACACATTCGAATATTACTTCCTTAATAATCGCTTTTCTGTCAATACGTGACACAATGCAATCAAGTAAGCTGTGACAGTAAGCTATGCCAGCTGTTACAACTTATTGATGCGCAACTAGAACACAATAGTAGCCAATTCACGATTCTGTAGCCAATTGAAGAGCTTATTTCCAAACTGCTTTGAATAGATATCTAGGAAAACAGAGATCATATTACAAAACTGTGGAAAGCTTGTGAAATGAAGAACGAACGCAATTTCCGGTTTCTTTTTCTCTTCTTTTTGATAAGGTTCTAAAAGACTAAGGTTTGGAGAAATAAGCTTTTCATCTGTAAAGAGCAACAATAAGAGAATAAACTACCGTGGCGAAATCGATTGCCGCGCATCATTAAACGAGCGTCATAACGTAGCGCAGACTCGTCCGATTACGCGTGACGTATGCTACTTGCGCAACCTTGAGCCGATGTGCGGTACGGAAGCGACCGAGAATTCTTCTTGATCTTCTGACGCATTTAAGAACTCGAATGTAAAACGACCTCAAACCGCGCGCTCCGTTGTAGCAAATACGAAGTTCATTTTTATTTATTTTCTGCTTATCATGTTACACATGAATCATGAAAAAATCTCGATACTTTTCCAACCTTTTTTTGAAAGTAAAAGAAAGAGAAATTCGGCATATGTCTATTTGTGCATCCTCTCGTATTATCAATGTGTTTAAGCTTTCTCAGCGAAGAAAAAATTTTATATTTTAATTTCGGTTCAGCTAAACGATACAACACGATATGAACTCACCGAGATCTTCGTCACATTCCACATCTATCATCCTGAGTACGATACCAATGTAAAACTCCATTTACATCCCCAAATCCCCACCATCTCGCACCAACTTTCAGCCAAGACACAAGCTGATCAGCATTTCGGAGGAACGTGCTGACAAAATCATCAGAAGAGAACGACAACGAGCCGGAAAACACCGCGGCGAGAAGCGTTACGGAATAACGTCGATTCGACAGATACTTTTACGCCTGCACGATCGAATTCCAAACACCTCGCGAACTCCCGTCGTCCATACACCGCGTGCTCTTATCTCTCCCCTCTTATCGCGCGTCTCCACAACACAGCGTTCTATCTTTAATAGCGTCAACAGAGAACGCCGCTGCACGTTTTGCGCACAGTGGCAACCTGCGGCGAGGGAACCGACGCGACATGGCCGTGTCGTCCCAAGGTCAGCGCGATAAGTCGGTCAAACCGCGGGGTTATCGCGCAATTCCGCATTTCGTCCGGCGTTTAAATGGAAAGGCTAACTCTCTCTCGCGCGCGCGCACGCGACCTCTCTACGTGGCTTTCCCTATCCGACCGCGGAGAGCGAACTGACGCAGTTTTCAATTTCGTCCTTAATACGCCGAATACGATCTCGCAAGTGTTATTCTTAACCTGAATATACAATGTGTCCCGGAATATATGCAGTATCGATGGAATAGCTCTGCGAGCGGAGTGATCGATCGTTTGCACACGGAATGTCGTTTCTCTTGTCAATCGAGTTCCTATTTTTCACGATGGAATTGCACGAATAATTAAGAATAGCCGCGCTTGAAAGCCATAGGCTTCACGCTTCATGAATAAAGGAGTTATTAAAAGTGGTCGCTGATGACGCACTATTTCGGCGCGCTCGTGCCGAGCCAATCATGCCGGGCATTAGACAATTGCGCAACATGTAATTCGTACAAAAGCCAACAAGCGACTACTTTACACACAATATCAACGGGTCACTGTTTTGTATGCATCGTTCGTATGTTAAACCGAATAAGTACACACACGAATCTGAGAACGAGCACGAGGGAAGTGAGAAAACGTAGAAAATATAATTCAACAACCAGAAACATTTCCCCAGATCTATCTTTCCTTAACGACACAGATATCTATGTAATGAATATTAATAAAAAAAATTGTCAAGGACAAAAACTTCATGAATACTTTACTAAACGCGTGATTTCTCGTTTATACCGTTAATCAACGGAACTAAAATTTATCCTACCAGACTTGGAATGATATTTAATATTCCGTTACTTGGTCGTCATTCGCGTCTGCTAATTAAATTACGTAAGAACGATCGTCGCAATAAAACGTTGTTCAACAAGATCTCTGTGACTCTCGATCGACCAAGAGACGCAATTTTGCATCTATTATTGCAATAAAGAAAAAGAGATAGATATTTGTTATGCTCTCTGGGAAGATTCTTTTCAAGTGCAGAAAATATATAATAACACAGAGCTAGGGCTCAGTACGAAAAACAGTGTAAGTGGATCTTATAGATTTTTGTATGCTGAAAATGAATCTGTCCTCCAAATAACTCTATCACGTCAGGTTTTCGAATGGTTTAAATTCCAAAAAACCGCGATATTCATCAGTGTAAGTGATTCTTATAGATTTTTGGATATTAAAAATAAATCCGTCTTTCTAATTAGTCTATCATGTACCTTTAGTAACTATTAACTAAAACCTCAAAAAAAAACCGCAATTTTGGTCATTTTTGAGAGTTTATAAATTGTTAAATCTACGCAATACAGAAGTCAATGTAGACTATTTTGATAGATTTTTTTACGCTGAATACAAATTGATAATCCAAATTCCTATCACATCAAATTTTTTCGCAATTAACGACTTAAATCCCAAAAAGTACTACTTCGGTCATTTAAGAGCTATGGAACCTTATTTATCATCTACAAATTTATACAAATTGCTAAAAACTTGCTCTGATAGTTACAGATCCATATGCAGCGTAAAAAATCTATCGTCTATCTATATAAAATTTATCTGTCCTATAATATGGTAATTTGTTAAATGCCGCGAGAGTGTGAGAGAAAAAGAGAGGGAGAAAGAGAGAGCCCGCAATTTTTCTACGAGCGCGAGCTACGCAGAAAGTTGTTTTCAGAAGCTCACTGAGAGCGGCTTCATTGAGCGCTGGAAGCGAGCCAATAGGAGACCACACAGCAGAAAGTCTGGTCGCGTCGATGCGTTAGTACGACGTCACGCATCGTGACGTCTGGTGTCATCCGTGCGTACGCCCGATACACCAGGCGCACCGTCGGCGTAGTGTATCCGAGCAGAAAGTTGACACACAGAGAGGCTCTCACAGATAACGAAGGATCGGCAAAACATTCGACTTTGTATAAAAGCCTGTGTTTAAAATGACTTTCGAACATTTGCACAATGACGAACTGTTTTAACCCGGAAGCACCATTGTGGAATACGTTTCTTAATGTACGCCGAATTCTAACAAATTCGTCGCTTTTCACATTTCGCTACACAGAAGAGCTTAGACCTCGAGTTTGGGTTAAAAATTTATACAAGAATTTGATTAATATTCAATAACAGAAGTGTTTCGGAATCTATTCTTGAAAAAAATACCGATGTCTGATCCCACCATGGTGGCAACGCATTGCAAATTTTTGTTTCAACATTTGAGGATTAATTTTGTGCCCCTGCACTCTCTTGTAGTCTCTTTATCAACATTTTAACACGTTGACTGCCCTGCTGATTTCCATGGAGCGTTTAATAATTTAATATTCAACTATTATAATCTGTTTATTGTGAACATCGATAGATACTGATTGGCAAGTTCTTACGTAAATGTATTTACTCGAAGCGAGCGTGACTCATCGGGAACAATTACACAAGACTCTTTTTTAACAACGTAAACAGTTCTCTGCCCAAGCCCATCCGAGAGAGTCCGTCAAGAACACAGTGAGGACATCAATAGGGCGATAATAGGGAGAGGGTGTGGTCATTGATCTCCTGTAAAATTATCTCACGCCGTGAGATAAGCTTTTCTGAGGAACTGAAAGAATGGTTTGCCAAACAGAACTGGATCTTAATCCACTATCCTTGTTTACACTTGATTATCACCTTGTTATCACTTGATTATTTAGGTGTTTTTAAATTTCTAATAATTCCCTATGTTACGGGATCTTTAACAGTAAATATTGCTCTCTTTAATAGGGAATACTAGTAGTGAATATAAATATTTACGATCGTCACCTAAACACGGATGACGAAGCCCCTGCGGAAATTCATGCATCACCCACGTATGGGTGACGTGGCAGTCAAAGTGTTAAATAAGTCGCTCGGTTCTGCTCGGGCACGATACGCAATGAGTACAGATTCGTTTATACCACGCGATCTTTAAAATTGTTGCGTATGATACACCGATTTAAATCTTCCCTTCTTATTTGCGAAATATACAAATGGAAGGTTACATAAAAAAATCAAAACTTAATGATTAAACAAGTACTAATCACTTATTTTTACGAGAGTTCTGCAAATTTAATCTATTTTCTGAACTCATAATTAGGATTACGTCGGACTGCCGTCAGATATAGAGGCGTTACATCGATAAGCTGATAAGCTGTTTCGCTTATCAACAGATAGACAATCCCTATTTGATTATCGCTGTGTATCTCACATTACCACACACTTGACAGTGCAAATGTAATCGTGATCGTGTGAAAAATCGCGCGGTGCGAACGAATCTTAACTCTTCATCAATTTTACACGTTGTGTAAGATTATTCTGGGATACCAATTCCTAATTTTATCCGTTCTTTAATTAATCATGTAAAGTATGCACACTTATTAACTCGATTTAATTGATTTTTATTTAATAAAAAAGAAGTACGCGGAGATTTCTCCCAGAGTGATCTTACAGACCAAAGATTGATAAAACACAACGACTACTTACAATCTGCTGCTGGGTTCGTTGCTGGCTTCGTCGCCTTCAATCCGATACACCTTGCCGGACATGACGTACTCGAAACTGTCAGCCCTGGAACCGCCTTCCTGTTCCGTAACGTTCCACTCGTTCCCGTCTGGGTAGCCGTCCTCGCGCAATGTTGTGGCTAGGACGAGGCGGAATTTGTCACCTGAACATATACAAGAACAATATTTTTTACACTTGAGGACTATCGGCGCAACTCCCGATATATCGTAAAAGTTTATAAAAAATTGAACGTGGAGTGAATGGTCAAAACTGAAGCTTGCTCTTTTCTTCCTCAAATATCTGTATCCCATTAAAATCCGATCCTACCGAGTTAGTGTGAGTCAACTTTGTTATTTCAGTAACTAGATAACGGCATCGACGTATTATTTGCGTCGTAATACCGAATGTCTACGTTTAATTAAGCAGAGGATTCTAACATCTATTTTTTTCTTTCTCTCTCTACACATCTATCGCCCGCGGGCACATAAAAAGCATCGTGAAGCAGCAATGATGGAATATAACCAAGTCCAATAATAGCCTTTACGCGAATGCATCGAAAACACATCGCGGCGTTGCATCAGTCGCGTGCATGCGCTCGGCTGGCTGGTGCGCTGCTAGATTGTGTAAACGGAAAATTTAATTCTAATATCAAGTTACGAAATCTGATTCAACGATGGAAAACGACAAGTTAGTGAGAGTGTACAAATTATTAAAAAAAAAAAATAAATGAAAAAACAGAAAAAAGAGAGAAGGGCAAAATTGTCTATTATATGTGACTTAAATCATATTAATATTGCTCAATTGAATTAATTTAACAGAATTTAGCACTCCCGACTATGAATTGGCGAAATTGGATGAAATTTACAAGATACCGTCCCGTTTTCCCTATTGCGTGAAATTACGTTAGCCGCGCGATTGCGATTGAAATCAATACGAACGGAAAGGAGGAAACGAGATATAACGGCGAAAGACAGTGTGCAGGGGCGAGGAAGATGCTAAAAGGAGGTCACGGTATATAGCATGAGAGCGAAACTGGAGCAGACAGGGAAAGATATCTGTTCGTTTTAGCCGCAGCTTCTCTACTTGTTCGATCCTTCTCCTTCGTCCTCCAGCCTCCGAAGGTGTATTCATTTTATTTCAAGTGCAGAAGATGCAAAGAGATAAAACTAAACTGTACTGATTCGTGCCGAGAAGAAACGGCAGGAAGCCGCGCTTAAAAAGAATCGTACATTTTCAGCGCACGAGGAATTGTAAACGAAGCTTTACGTCTCGTTTCAGCATAATGATCAATTTCACGCAAGTCAGTGTGACGTATAGCCAAGAACGTCAAATTGGGTATGTTGTTGCACTCAATTTGGCAGATAGGACTGCTTTTACGAAGCGGAGAAGGTGAATTTCACGGAACTTTTCAGCGACCAGATCTCCTTATAGCGTGCCATGAAGTAAGCACGCGAGATCGTTCGCACGGTTTGTCAGTTGGTGCCGGAAGAAGCCTCCACCACGCGGAATAGCATCCTCATACATAACACTGTGGACTAGAGCAAACGTAAGAAGGCCCCGGGACGCAAGGTCAAGGTTAAGTACATGGCGAGCAAGTATAGCGCGTACTTTAATCGATACCACATCGTCAGCGCCACCGTGGCCGTTCGTCGGCGTCGCGACGACCGCTGCGTCGCCCACAAAGAAGCTCCAGGCGAAAGTTCATCCTCGGAGCAACAATCCTCGATATGCGATTCCAAGCATCGAAGTGTTATCGATTTGCGCCACAAAGATCGACAAAAATATCAGGAGATACATGAAAAGGCCACTGCTGTGCGTCTCTCTCTCTCTCTCTCTCTCTCTCTCTCTCTCTCCCCCTCTCTCTCTAAAAATGCATATCTAGCTTGTGTATTCGGCAAAACTTTATATGCAAACTTTCCTGATTTTCTTATATCTCTCCTCATGCAAATACAACAGATCAAATTAAAATTAAAGCTGCGTAAAATAAAAGTTTCGATATAACATCTTCCTTTCGCGAAAAACTTGAACACTCGTTCCAAACTCATGTAACAATTATCCCGAAGCTATACTCGATCTTTTATTTTGGCGGTATCTATTTTTTTTTTCAAGCTTAGTGGAGCATTTAGCATATGGAAAGCTAAAAGAACAAAAAAACGATTAAAAGCTCCATATATTTTACACATATGGATAAAACTATCTTTCTATGTATCTTTCTATGTATGTATTTAATTATGTATCTTATAGAAAATTAAATGATACGAAAGCTAAGCAAGTATGAGTTGGAGCGATCGATGAAACGTTTAGTACGCGACGTCGTTATTTCACGTCAGATAATAGCCCGAGCGCGTCGCGGTATCTGCACTTCGTCCGTGACTTCGGGAAAGCTTCTCCGCGCGGTTTCAGACTGGAATATAAATCCGCCCCGCTGCGTGGTTACCTCGGAGCGAGTCGGGAAAACCGTCCTCCGCAGGATCAATTGATCTCGCTGCTCCGCGGCGCGGCGCGGAGAGTACGTGAGCCGTGCTTACATCATAATGGTGCCACACCGTAACAGCGGCGGCGGCTATAGATCATCCGGTCGAGCGCGGTATATCTCGCGCTTAAATTAACCCTCATTTGACCGAAACGCCATGTCCGATAAGCGCGAGCCCGTCTCCTCCTCGTGAAACGAGAGCTTCAGGAGTCTTCCAACGAGCGACAATGGCCAGGAGCACTTTGCAAGCCGCGATTTAGAGGGAGGTGTAAAAATAGCTAAAAATGACAACACTTTGTCTATTTTAAAGCAATTAAGTCGTGCTAATGAGCAAAAAGCTCGAGGAAAATGCGATTATGTTGCAAGAAGATAGACGTACGTCGATGGAACTGCTACACATTATAGCGCAATACACGGTATCAATTATATTCAACATGCTCCCGTGGTAACGTACCACTTCGAGCAATTAAACGCGAATCGGGAAGAGAGGAAGAACCTCTAGCAGAATTCACGACGGTGACCTTGAGAGAAACAGAGAGAGAGACAAAGCGAGCGAGAGAGAAAGAGAGAGAGCGAGCGAGCCGCGTCATTGCTGGTGGTTCTTCGCGCGCGGGTCTCGACGACGGAATCGATAACGCGTGACAGTGCGCGGTCGGCGGCGATATATACACAACGGGATAGGATGGGGATCCGCGGCCGAGCGACGGTGCGGCTTACCTCGCTGCGCAGCGTCCGTTCGGGTCCTGTCCGAAATTCACCGCCGCCATCTTGGTCTGCGTGACGCGATCTCGCGGCGACACGATGGCTTCCGCGCTCGGACTGCTCTCTTCCGGACGGATCCACCTGTGTCCCGCGCGCGGCCGACCTTGTCGCCTTTTCCACCCGAGCGGAGAAGATTCACGAGATCACGAAGCGACACCCGCCGATTTCGCTCCGCTAGCCTCCTCCTCCCTCCCCGTCACCCCCTCCTCGTCACGCCCACACGTCTACCTCATCGTCGAGCGACGTCGGTGCGGTGCTCAGGAAGGAAGAGGAAGAGAGAGAGACAGAGGGGAGAGAGGGGAAGGGAAAGGGAAAGAGAGAGAGAGAAACGTAGAAAGCCCCTTCCCAAAATTCACGCGACCCGACGACGTCGCACTTCAAAACGTTGGCGCTGTGGCCAAAAGCGCGGCGCGTCTAGATAGACTGTGTTCCATCCGGCAAAAGTCGCCTCAACATTCCCCGTCACGGCACTCCAACGTCGCGTATTCAAAATGTCCGCTCGCACGTCGTCGTCGTCGACGTCGTCAAGACGGACGACGTTCGACATGTTGAACACAAGAAGGCTCACCTGCGAGATTCCCCGACAGCAGGCACTCCGCAATCGCGTACACGTTTGTGCACGACCGCCGCCGTTGACATACATCACGTACCGGCCGCTAACAATCGGTTAAAGAGACAAACGTACTACGCGGAAACAGGGAAACGCACGACTGGCGAAAAACGACACGTCGATATCCTACTGGGCGAGACGACGACGCCGCGGCGCGTCCCGCTCTCTCGCGGCAGGATAGTCGTGCCATCGTCGAGGAAGAGCGGACGAGTGAGACGCGGAAAAGGGACACGACTGGTACACTAAGAACGAGCGAGCGATCGAACCGCGGGACGCGCTCGCTTCCTCGAGGACGAACGAATATCGCGCGCGACCGACACGGCTGCGAGTCGTGGCCGCTTTGACCTTGGCATTGAACTTGTGGGCGCCGCGGGGCGAGGCGAGCGACGGGAGACCTGCGCGCGGAAGGGAGCACCGATGTGGAGGGCGCAGCTGAGCTGGCGGAACGAGAGGGAAGGCGCGGCGAAGGAGGGAGACGGGCGCGAATCGGTAGTGGGAGGGAGATTGCGTCATCTCGCGCAAGCCTGAACGCCGCGCGTCAATACAGCAGAGAGACTCGGCCTGGCCCTCGTGGACTAACCTTCCGTACATACCTATATATGTATATTCGTATGTCTATATGGATATATAGTCGCCTATCTGCGTGTCTATCTATTTATCTATCTATATTGAACGAGTGCTGTAGATATGTGCGCAATATATTTTGTCCAATTTATGAATCATGTGTAACCCTAAATGTAAATGGACTTTATGCTATACGAAACGTAGTTGAGTTGTCTCTTTACTTGGACTTTGCGCAAAGTAAAAAGTCATGGTCGTGTGTAAAATACGACTAGAAGTTGATCGCGTAGTTCTCTAATATGATTTCTGTTGATAAATATGTGTATACAGTGAGAAAATTATATGAAAGTTAACATCATTTTAGCAAAATTGTTTTGACTACGCTCGACTAGATTCCCAAATCGCATCACGGAATTAAATTTCCACTAGTTTCGCGTGCAGACGTACATGAAAACAATCCTAAACACAGAAAAGGGAGGGGGAAGAGAGAGAGAGAAGGGTGAGTCAAAATATCAAAGGTTATTCTGGGTATTCAATAAACACCCCTTCATCACGATCAATATTCTTCATTTTAGGGTTAAATTTTTCCTACCCGATTTTGCGGTATTAGCGCGATACATTTACCATCCTATATCGGTTATTAAAATATGTCAGATTAAATAACAATAGCAACAAGTCGATAACATGTCGTGCGCAGCTATTACTCAGCACAGTGAGCCACGCTAATTCAATGCCGCGATTACTGCAAACGGAACTTTTCAATTACCGATAAAAATATCGTTAATAGGACAGAAGTTAGCATCTTCGGGAAATATCGTTGCATAGTAAAGAAGCACATCATATACCCTTACGTTTGGTCAACCTACACGCCAATAGTCACACCAATAGTCACAGTCCCATCAGCAATCTAGAGGCGGAGCCAAGACAAGACTCAAGTCGGACTTGGTCAGCGCGAGTCCTCATTGGTGAAGTTCAGAGACGAAGGCATTAATCGCGACGATCGCGTTTACCGACGTGCGAGGCAACGTGTTCGCTGAAGCAAGATGGCTAGCTAAGTAATTCGACGATAAATCTCACGTCATCATGTCTTCGGTACACTGGACCAGACGAGCGATTGCGAAAAGATGGCGAGTTGGAAAAATCGGCCCTTGCGGATAAAACGTCAAATTAAAAACAGAATAGTAATTGAATTTGAATTCAGATTTCCCTAGGTAACTTCACAAAATTTTTCCCTTAAAAACAAGGTTAATAGTGATGTGTCTATATATATAAGTAGGTCCTCAAATACTTGGCTACTACCCTCTCGAATTTTGGATGTTTTTAATCTTGGATTAGATGTATGATCAGTCTTGGATGTAATCGATTTTTTTTCGCGAATTTCCCGAATATTCAAATATCTAAAATAAAAAAATAAAATGAGCTGATGTGAAGTCATCAAACCGTCGAACAAAATATATTGGAATCGTGTCCGTGTTTTCCATAAAAATAGGGGAAGATTCGGTTGCTGACGTCTGTTAGGTCTTGATGTTTGTTCTCTTATGCGAATAAAATATACGCTGCCAGGGTTGCCACCCAACTTTCTGTGCCATATTGTGTGGCAATTTTACCGAAGATATCTCCGGAAATAAATGGTTGCGATTTGCATTAGCGGCGGAAGTACGGCGAAAATAAATAAATAAAAAATTAAGAAGACGAAAGAAGCAGGTTTCGCACAACGTCGTTGCCAAACATACGAAAAATGCAAACTCGTTGCATCCGCGCGGCCGAAAGAAGAAAACGTTTCGAATGTATTGCCTTGAACAACGTCGACACTTCTTCGAAGAATGTAAATTTTCCTTCTACTGCGCACAAAAGAATATTTTCAATTTACTCCGCATTTCTGTGGACGTGTTGAAATGTCACCCTCGAAAAATCTCCCAACTTATATAAAATTTCCCGTCATAATGCAGACGTACTGAATATATTGAAAAAAGTCCTCGCTTCTTCAACATTTTATTAATTATGAGAAATAAATATGTAAAAACTTTTATTAAAAAACTACCTTGTTTTTTATATTTTACGTTAGACCAATGCTGTATTCTTAGTTCAATTCAAAACTTTTCCTGTTTGCGAAAACTTGAGAAAATTTTGTCTATGACTGTCTTGAATTCAAAAATTAAATATCTCGATAATCAAACCACTAAATAATGATCAAAAAATTGTTATAATAATGATCAAATGTTAAAAAAATTTCTATATGTCGAAAGTAAATAAAAGTCAAATAAGAGAAAATTCACTTGTCAGAAAGCTCGTCTCGTTCTTTCATTTCGAGTGTTTATAACTCAAACCTATCGGGCTAATTTTAGCCAACGAAAAATTGATTCCCAATTTATAAAGTACGACCGGACAATTTGATAACTTATCTTGGAATTTTTACCGAACGCAAAAAAAAGGAAGATAACGTGTTTATTACGATCAAATAAAGAGGTAACGGGTAAATGCACAGATTTTATAGAGCAATAAATAAATTCTTAAGATATCTAAGTTATCAATTACTCGATTCAAACGATTTAAATCGGACTCTTTTTAATGGAACAAAGTCAAGTATAATTTGGAACTTTCTCCTGAAGATAAGGTCATCAATACATTACAGAGTCATACATAATAAGAGTAATCAAACAAGCGAAAACACTGATCAGACTTAATACATTGTTCAGCATCATCAAGGACAAACAAAAGAAAAGCTTACACCCGCCTACGCCGAGTGCCTAAATCGTAATACAATGCTGAATTTTAAATGAACGTTGAGATATTGAGCATTCAAAATTTTTATCTCCAGGTGGTCAGCTTTTACAATCTTACATAAACATCTATATCAATGCTGTCCAAATCTTCTGACATTTTGGCGCGCTTAAACAAGACTGAAAACGTCACTGACGAGATTTCGTCGAAAAATCAAAAATCATGATCGCTCAAATAGCTGCCAAGCGCATTTCGAAAGTTTACGTCCGCACGCAAATATCGAACTACGATTTCGCACTGCGCCTGCAATGCGATGATGCAAAAAGAACGCGCGAATCCTTCCCGCGTCTTTGCATGTCTAACAGAAGTGAGGAAACGATTTAAAACTGATTTAAAGGGAGCAGAATTCTGAAAGATATGCAGTTTGCTTGAATATCTGGTTATGTAAACTCAAACATCCACATATCTCCATGAAATCAATCGATTTAAAAGTTATAATGATTTATACATCTGGAAAAGTGTTCTCCTTCTCCTATAAAGAATACATAGTGGTGTTTCCATATATATTTGGCGTGAGACGCCATCACATCTCTTGATGCTTTTGCTGACTTATTCTGCCAACATAAGACATCTTGTTATTTTTATACGAGGAACGCCGCAGATATTAAACGAGATATTTTATGAAAACTCGAACATTCGCTTTATATATCTCAAAGTTCCACTTCACAAATAATTAAATGGTTCACAAAGTCTTTTCTCGCGGTGTATCCATCCCATCAACTTGATTTCTTTGGCATGCGATATCGTTTTGTATGAATGTGATATATTATTGTACCGATTAAAATAACGGAATTCATGTAATTCTTGCGTTGGTATTACATTTCGAAGCTCGTACAAAGCTTTCGATACGTGCAAACCGAACTCTTATATTCTCGACATGCTCGTCGCAATATCAAAAAGGGAAATACGATCACCTGATCGCCTTCGTATTTCAAAGAGATATGCAAAAGGCGAACAAATGCAAAAACGCCAGCGGCTCAATCGGAAATTACAAGTTTCGTCACGTTCACACAAAGTGAAGAAGGGATATCGCGATGCGATACCGTTTTCTATTTTCTCGACTGATAGATTTCCGGATGAAAATTTGGCTTGGAATTTCGCAGTAATAATGTGCATTGCGACAATAATGGATAACGATATGATATATCATGTTTAACATAATGTTTAACATAATGTTTAACATAATGTAATATAGTTATGCAAAACGTGATAGTGTCATTTAACCTTTTTTTATTATTGTGGTGCTCAATTTGATCCATCACGCGAAATTTCTCACATATATCGAAATGTAGAACGTAACTGCCGGTATAGACTACCGGAAAAAGTATTTAGCGAGTATTTTGTACAAGTATTTAGTACAATCACTATTATTTTTAAGCTATTATTTTTAAGATTGTTTATGAAAGGCGAGCAAATGCAAAAACGCCAGCGGCTCAATCGGAAATTACAAGTTTCGTCACGTTCACACAAAGTAAAGAAGAAATATCGCGATGCGATACCGTTTTCTATTTTCTCGACTGATAGATTTCCGGATGAAAATTTGGCTTGGAATTTCGCAGTAATAATGTGCATTGCGACGATAATGGATAACGATATGATGTATCATGTTTAACATAATGCTTAACATAATGTAATATAGTTATGCAAAACGTGATAGTGTCATTTAACCTTTTTTTATTATTGTGGTGCTCAATTTGATCCATCACGCGAAATTTCTCACATATATCGAAATGTAGAACGTAACTGCCAGTATAGACTACCGGAAAAAGTATTTAGCGAGTATTTTGTACAAGTATTTAGTACAATCACGAGCTATTATTTTTAAGATTGTTGATATTCTAAGATTTTTGATATTCTAAGATTGAAGAACCTTTAAAAGCCAAAGCATGAGTGTCTAGTGCTATAAATTTAATAGTCAAATTTAGTTTACATATCTCGCAATGAGATCTCGCAATCTCACGATGAAGCAATTCAAATGTATGAAAACATCAAACAAATTCAGAGTCAAGTGAAAAAGTAGTTCAACCAATACCGCGCCTGAGTCACATCGCAGACAATAGAAATGATTTTTAATGCATTTCCCGTTCCGCTTATCTTCATCTGATGTTCAATAGTTTAACCAAAGTTTGAGCGACTAAAGATAATTCCTTTTATGTTCAATTGAAGCGACTTTTTCAGAGATATCCTTATTTTCGTAAAAATTATTCTTATTTGACGTAATTTCCTGATATTATTCCTCTTGTAGGAAATACATGTTCAAACAACAACATTGATTGATTTTTCGGGACGTTCAGTGCTCCATTTCCTGGTTTACTTGTAGGTGTATTTCGCAGTCGACATTTTGCGTGGGCTCTTATCGGCTTTTCTGATCTAGTTTTGATTCAACTATATTTTATTTTTATTTTTTTTACTTACCGAGTTCCATGGGATACAGCCAAGAGTTGATGTCCAGGATGAGGTCCATCTTGAAGGACTCTGACTCGCAATGGAGCCTGCTCACTGCAACCCACAAAAGGGAAAACACATCATTAAAGCTCGAAAGCACGTATTACGTGCTCTTGGGGGTTGGAGGGGAATACAGAGGACGACGATATGCGACGTCGCTACCGGGATGACTCACAGAGGAATTGCCGGGAGATCCGCCGCCGAGAGAAAATTCATTTTCGCTCCAAGACGTCCCGCGCCGTTGGCTGACGTCATCGACAGCCGACCAATCGCGCTTTCGATTCACGATATGCGAATTTATCGGCTTCGCACACGCACACACATAAACCAACATACACATATACACACATGCGCGCGCGCACTTACGACACAATTGCCAAATCGGATATCTCTCTCACATTCTCTCGCACACCCGCTCTCTCTATCTGTTCCTCTCTCTGCTTGTCCCTCTCTTATGTGCGTTATCGGCTCGTGTCGCTCATGTGCGTCGTGTGGCCGATCACTTTCGACATTCGACCGAGGCGAAAAAGCAGTTTGACTCGTAGTTACCTATCGCCCCTCTCGTATCGTCACTAGTTCGAACGATAATGGCCGAGTTAATTCCGGACTCGATAATAAAGAATTTCTGCGCGATATGTTTTGGTTGATAAGTCAAGACTCGAAGACACGCGTAAACATTAAATCCAAAATAGTAGTTGCCAGTTACTGAGTTGCTCAGCAAAATTAATAAAATATCTGTCATGGTAAGCAATATTTTAATAAAAATAATCACTCTTATTAGCGCTAGAAATTTTACGAATACATGCATCACGATCTATTTTCAACGTTTATTTAAACGATAATAATCGTAATAATTCCTTCTAAACTAAATAAGATAAATACTGTGATTAAGGGTGTGGTCTATTAGATGTTGAAAATGCTTTGAAATATCATACAGACCAGTTATAGCTTTTCTTTAAATGCTTCAAAGCGTTTGCAGCGTCTAATAGATCTCGTACTCTCTAAATATAATTTAATTTTGTTCTTATATTTGATTTTCTGTATCTGTTTGCCTGAGATCAAATTTCGAGTTGACTTCATGTATATTCGCCGTGTAAAGTGACAAAGAAAAACAGGATCGCAAAATTAAAAGAGAGGAAAAAGGAGAAGATATTTATGAAAATGCGGTAATAACTCATGGAAAAACAAAATGGCAGACACTGTATCGCCCAAAAGTCGGGATGGTAACGCGACATCAGCTATATTTTAAATGAAACAGACGCTGTGTTACGTTAGAAGATAAGGACGGCGGTAAAAGGACCCGAACACCGCGTGTCGTATCGTGTATTAAACAGTTGTAACGTAGTGCACACGCAAGTCATGTAGCAACTTTTTATGCATGCACGAAAGGGTGCGTTGCACCTTTTCTTCCGCGTATGTTATCAGTAGAGCAGTACTTTCTCAGCAGTGACTTACGTAATATAACATATAATGAGTTTCGCGCGAACAAAATGTCGGTGTTTCTATTCTTGAAAGCACGCTTTGAATAATATTACATGCAAATCGCTTCGCCTTTATGTACCACGTATGAAATTATCGAAAACATTGTTTCCAATGAAAATATTGATGTCCCCGATTCTAGAACCAACAAATTACAAATAAATAACAATCGGGCAACGATTAATGGTCTCATACACGTATCTATCAACATAATGCAACAAAAACAAAAAATGATTTTACGCGCGCGCTCGTCGGTGTGATAAACTTAATAATAAATAGTCGACGTATTGTTGTCATTGTGTAAGAATATTTTTTGTGTAATACTTTTTTATTTTTACTCACTTTAGCATTTTCTAAACACTCGAATTATCTGAGGCCTTGAAGCATAGTTCAAACAACAATGCCGAGAATGCAGTGTCTAAAAACGTACGCTGTGTATGTAAGTTTCGACACACATAAAGTTTATCGCGTCAGTTAAAATAAAAAGAAAATTACTAACCGCGGTTTTACATCTCAACTTTCATTTCTTCACGCCTTTATGCTAATTAGCGACTATAAAACAAGAATACGTAGCAGATTGTTCGAGACAAACATAAAGAGTCCCCCTACCCTCTCCATCCCTCCCCTAACTTATATCTTTCAAAATATATCACGTTTATTCACAACATTACAAATATACAGCGCACAAAAAAATATTTGCTCAAAAATTTATAGTTCTGTTTTGAAGAAAAGTTGCTGCACACAAATATACTTTTCGCATAATTTTTCTTTTCTTTATCAAAATTATCCCAGAAAGAGTGGAATATGTAAACACCCCTTTGTCTATTACGTAGCTCGCGATAAGAAGAAATTCAAAGAGGATACTGAACATGTTTTTGTATCCTGCGAGAAGAACGTCGGACGATAAGTCGGATGTGTGGCGCGATAACGACGTTCCACAAAGGGAAGAGGAACGCGTGCTCTTTTATCGGCAACGATCGAGTATTTTTGTTGTGGACGACTAACAGTTGGGACGATCACGTATTTGGACGCGACTCCACCATGCGACGGACCTCGCGGTATCTCGCCACGCGCGTCCTTGAGATCGAAAGCCCACTCTCGATATTGATTTCGTCGGCGCGATAACCGTTTGTTCGCAATAATCTGACATTGTTACAGTGTTATTCTCACGGCGGCGCGTCTGATCTCGTCGAGCACCCGCGAGGCGGGTTATCGGCACTATACGGTGAGCCGAGACATCGTAGTTATCGAGAGGAGAAAGTAACGCGTAATTTCGGAAACACGGAAATTTACCAGATATGTTATCGCCGCGGCGATCGCCGAGATTGCGCCGTCACTTTGGAAGCTACTCACGCGACTAATCCCGTCCTCCATCTCACTCACCGATCTCGGCCCGAAGTCGGATCTCGGCAGGACGGAAGCAGGAAGAATGTGCACCAGCGCGACGTTCGCTCGCTCCTCCTTTCTTCCACCCACACATTCCACTGCATCATTCTCCCCAGCTGATTCCTCCCTCTTTGTCTCGCACCCTCTCTCACATACATAGACACACACACTCTCTCTCCAACTGTATCCTTCCCCTCACCCTACCCATCCTGTTTTCTCCCCGTCTCCTCTGTCCGTCATCGGTCCTATCTTTCGTGTTTTTTTTTCTCGCTCTCACTATCATCACGTCGCTCCATCGTTTTACTCCAATTTCTATGAATTTCACCTCCCATAAATACTCCGCCATTGAGCTCCCTCTCACTCGAGTTGAGTTTACGTTTCGCGCGGCGATGGGAGTACACTTTTCGAGATCGCACGGAGATGATCCGTTTCCGTTGCTAACGTTGCTCTCAGCTGGCAGTCCTTTACGCAAGAGAGCAAACCGACAGCGGTGGCGGCGGCAGCGCTGGAGAGAAGAGACACCAGCAACGGCGACCTTTACGGTCCATTCGCCGGCGTAAATTTTCCAACGAGCTACCTCTCTCCTCTCCACTGCTCTCCTCTTTACTCCTCTCCTCACGGGGAAGGGCGGCCACCCTCCCCGAGGCTCGTGCTCACCCCACCGCGCTCACCATTTCGCGCTCGGAGAAGGGAGGAGGGTGGCCACCCTCCCTCTCGTGGCGAGGTGCACTAGCACCTCCGCTCGTTCTCCATACTTCTCTCCCTTGCATCCGAACCGCGATGAATTTGTGTTGATGTACACCCACGCGACAGTGGGTTGAAAGAGAGGGGAGAGAGGAGAGAGAGAGAGAGAGAGAGAGAGAGAGAGAGAGAGAGAGAGAAAAGCAGGAGGTGAAAGAAGGGAGAAAGGGAGGGAAGGTAGGATCAAAACCGTATCGTACTGACGGCCCGCATCAGCTCGCTCTGGGTTATCGATTCTCCATCCCTCTCTAAATTACGACGCCTTGTAGTACAAACGGAGAAAGTTAATACCGCGATCGCGTGTCCGTTTGTGACCTTAAGCGCCCAGAAATTTAGTTCTAGAAAAATTTAGTCCCTGCAGAGACGTTTTCGAACAATTATAATTAAACATCTATCTTTCTGTTAGACTGTGTTAGATTCAATCCCTTATACATGTAAATTCAGTACAGTATAAATTATGACCGATTAGAGTGCGTCGTCTGATTTTTATTCATGGCCACATACAACGGCTCGCGAGAAATTGACAGCAGTTTTTTAATATCTGCCTAGTTTTTATGAGTACTTAAATAACGTTGCCAACGTTCCATAAATATTAAAGACGTAATTCTGTAAAATGAAGCAAGATAAATATTGAACATTGTGTTGCTGTTTTTAGGTAAATAAATATCTCTATGTAAATAAATATATACATGTAATTGCACAGACGGTAGCGAAATCACGATTCACCATCATCACACCCTAATCTCGATCTCTCCAAAAAGAAACGCTCCTTGACGTAGAGACGCACTCGGTGCTCATCCTTTCCGAGTTACACGCGTCGTACCAAAATGAGCCCCAACCCTCCCTCATCACACTCTTCTCTGCTGAGAGGGGTAACAGAAGTGAGTTCAACCGACCACCGATGAGCCCTGGCAGGGCGAAAGGGATGGCAATGCACTTACCCCCACCGCACCCTCGATCCGTGCTCCATCTATGCTAAGTCCTTTTTCCTACTATCTCGCCGCCCTACTCATCCCTTCGACGCCCGAGAAAGGATTTTATCCTTTCGTCTTGCTTTCGCGTTACCTCGCTCAGGCTCGTCATTCTATTTTTTTTCTTTTTTCTTCGCGAACTCTATTCTGTCTCGCATAGACTGCTCAGCTTGTTGCATACAGGGTGTTAAAAAATGGTTAGTTTCTTCCTCTTTCTTCTCTCCCTCTCTCTCTCTCGTTCTCTCTAGATATCGCGCGAAAGCGGCCTTTTAGATACACATTTTGAGAAACGTTTTCACGATGCAACGCGTAGGTCGATTCGGTAAAAGCGAATCTTCTTACGTCGACAACTGCCTTTCTTCTTGATGAAAAGTCCGTTCGACGCATCGCGTAATACCCATTCGTTTCCTTCTTTTTATATCACGTCATGAGAGTAACTTTTCCCTCGCCGTTCTTCGTGTCTCGTTACCTCGAACGAGCGCGCCGCCACAACGAGATACTTCCTCGCACTTTCATCCGCGATTGATACGCACGCAGCGGCGTCGAACGAGTATAACTACGTACTTGCAGAACCGACATGCAGACTCATGTTTAATTACGGGTCATTTAACAGTCCGGTAATGGTAATCGGTGAAACCAACTGCGTCAATTGAGACGACTTCGTACGGTGAATCATTTCCAGTTACAAGCGAATCTGGTAAGAAATACCGTGAAACATGCAACGCTTGTTGCTTTCCAAACCCAGTAACGTCTTTTATGCATCACATTTTACGGTATACTGACGTTTCGTGCCGTACTAATAGCACTCGACCGGAGATCCTACTTCCGAACGCTACCATCGCAGTTAGAGGCAAGGCGTACCTAGACCCCGACGCATAAATCTCTCAGAAACTTTCTTTGCGCGAGAGATAACTTCATCTTGAATAAGATTATATGAGATAAAAGCATCTGCTTAATCCGGTATTTGCAAGAAAAATTGACCTCACTCATATGTAGATTCAGTAATTTAAAATCTAAAACTGAACAAGTGGATTTCGTGTCCTCCGATATCTTGAAATTTTCGGCATTTAGTGGTAAAATTGAAGTTTCAAACAACCCTACGGCCTCTTAAACTAACCCCAATAACTACACCCTCTTTTATTTTAAGGAGACTTTCTCTTCAGTGTAAAGGAATCGAAAGGTCCTAAATGACTTGAACCCTAGGCACCCACATTTGAGGTTATATATATGAGTTTATGATGTGCTTATAGACTAGATATAAGACCTACTCAGATATTCTCCTCTGTATCTGTCTTACGAAGGATCTGTCCTATCAGTTTAACGAGACACAGCAAAAGAAAAACTTGCTTTCTCGACAGACAAGAGAAAAATAAAACACCTCGTAAAAATTTGTAGTTTAATAGTTATTGCATGCGAATCAATTTGGATCGCTTCTCTAAATATTTATATTATAAAAATAATCCAAAACGTTTCAGGTTAACATGCCTTGTCATGCCATTTGGTCGTTCCCCGATAAGGTGCTCTATGAACTGCATCGAAAGTTGCTATATTTAGGATATAGCAAACAACATATAGTCACAAAAAATGTGCCGGTGAATTATTAACAAGAATTACGAAAATAGATAGAAAATAGAAGAAGAGAGAGATATGTCAGAGAAGCCATTAGAGTTTTTACGATGCTTTAAAGATGTACGATATTTCTTGTTTGATACAAAGCCCCTGTGCATCACCACATGACGCGATCACTATCTTAAATGTACAAAAAATTCTCTAAAGACGTGCGACGAAGCATGAAGTCGCTATCGTTTACGCACGAAGAAAATTCTATTTTCAAACGCCTTGCGCGAAGTATGTGTACAATCCCTTAGGTATAATGCTAAATATAGAGCTTTACAGCTAAGATTTTGATTTAACAAAAAATATTATGTTTATTTTTCGAGCAAAGTTTACTTCAAAAGAAAAAAGTGCTCGGGAGACTGACGGTTTATTTAAAACTTCCGGGACGTATCTATAAATACGCGTATATCTTTAAAAATGCTGAATAATATTTTAGACATACTAAAGGGAATAGTAAAAAAAATAAGGAGAAAAATAAAACGTTATTAAGGAAAAGAATAACGCTGTATAATAAAGAAAACGAGAAATATGGCAACAGTGGCCAGAAGCTATACGCAAAGGCTGGACGAAACAATAGATAATTAAACGTTTACTTTCTGCGTCGGAGCAAAAATTGAATTTAAGCTGCTAATAGAGAGACGGAGAAGTTGTGGGAGGGTGAGGGTAGGGGAGGGGAAGACCGAGCCGACGAGAAAGGGGTTGAGCGGAGCGGCGGAAGGACCAAGCGCGAGGAAGAGAGAGGGGGGAGGGAGAGAGAGGAACAGAGACAAGAGGGGGGTGACGTGCGTGGGCTGGCTCGACGCGGGGTTTCCCAACTGCGCAGTGTCGCTATCCGTTATCGACCAGTTCGCTAGCGCTATAAATACTGGGCACCAGGCTCTCGCTACCCCTATAGACCCCCCCTTCCTATAGTCCACCCCCGAACACCCACGTATATTCCCTACAACCTGGCCCCCTCCGTCCCTCTTACGGCTGAACCAACCTCCACTCCATTTGTCGTCGTTCTCTCTGTCTCCAGCTTTCTCCATCACACTGTCTCTCTCTCCCTCTTTCTCCCTCTCTTTCTCTCGCTCTTTCTCATTATTTCTCTCCGCCACCTCTTCCTCTGATCACCCTCTCTCTCTCTCTCTTCTTCAGCCACCGAGGGGCGGAAAACCTTGACCTTCAAAAGAGCGTCAGAGGGCGAACATGGCGCTCTTTCCACCCCCTCTCGACACTCTCCTCCCTGGCCGTTTCGTCTCTCTCTTCCAACCTCCCCCCGTACCATCCGTGGCCCGCCATCGCACCGTCTTTTCTACTGCCGCTTTCAAACTACGGCAGTGGTGGACTGGCTCTTTGTCTCTCTATTCTGCAGCGAGTGAAATTACATCGCTGTTTCCTCGTTGATCCGTCGCGTGAGTGGCTCTCGTGCGCCGTCGTTTCGATTATTATTGCATTGTATATAAGAATCCTTCCGGCGTATTAAAAGCGCAGGAAGAAGGTGCGCGGTTTCGTTTCTTTCCCGGTTTTCACCCCTGATATAGTTTCAGCGAATATGCATCGTCTTATCACATATTTCTGTGAATTTTTAAGCACACAAGGGCGTTTCTCTCTTGGAGTATTTATCTTTTCCATACTTCCACTGCTCTCAATGAAATTTTCTCTTTCTTCTGCGTAATTTTTATAAGAACTATGAACTATTCTCTCATAGTAATCGATGTTCCAATTTTCTTCAAATAATTTTTACTACTTGAAATTTCGCGAGCTTTCACTAGGAGACTATGTATCCAAGAGTTAAACGCCACATCCGCAGCATCGATTAGTGTTCTTTCAATATCCAGCTACGAACCTAGTTCGTAGCTGAACGATTATTGTATCTTTTCCTTCGCATTTTCTGTTCTCCTACATGTACAATTTTTTATTTTATTCGAAATTGAAACTGTCCGTCAACACGAAACTGTAATTCTCGAATAAAGTGTCTGATTAGCGTTAAATAAATAACGTTGAGCATCAGAAAATAAATCTAACATAAAAGATTCGCTGCTCTTTCGAGAAACGACGCGTTTGTGGCTTTATGACCCGGCAAAGCGGCTCTTTTCTCGCGAGATGAAAATTTACGATCGTCCTCGTGACCCAGTCGCGCGCCTTTTCGGTGGCCAAGAAGAGTTATACGCCTACCAAC